AAATTACACAAAACAAGGTTTTGAAAAAATTAGAAGCACGGGAAGAGGGTCAAGCCAGGAAATTCTAAGAAAAGGCTGTCACCTACAATATTTTGAACATGAACTCTAAAACTAAAAGAATTTTGTGTTTTAGCTCATTTTCGCCCACTTCGAGTTTTTCGGGGAACAAATTTCACAGTATTCTTTGAAAAACTTTAAAAACTGATACTCGAGAAAATTAGCCATAATCAGTCAACGTGTAATGAAAAGCAAGGTTGTTTGCATCCTCGGTAAGGGGTGGGGGGTGGGGATGCGGTGTGGAGACAAGAATGCTCGTTGGAAACCATAGAGTGAAAACCCTAAAGAAGACTAGTATGGGCGAGGATGAAACCTCAGCATGGTATGCATGAGGACTTTTCTTTTTTATAGGTATGTATTTTTTATACACTAGCCTGTTGAAAGGGAAGGAGATGGAAATTCGGGTGCGAGACCGCGCGCAAGTTTCTAATTTCAAGGTTAAATTCCCGTACAACAAACTCGAAATCTTTTGCGATTTCCACTTCACTCGCCATATCCTATATCCAATGATTACTGAAAGATCGATCAAGTTCAAATAGTATCAGATTAAGGTATTAAGGCTTTGATTGACACTTTTGGAATACTGACCAATGAGAATTTTCACATCTCACTGGTGGACGAGAAAAACGAAAAAGGTATTAGCGTCCTTTCAAGCGTTTCATTCCGTTCCCCTTGCGTGCCTTTCGCGCTTCCCGCGCTTCTCACGTGCCAGTAATTCCCTTTGATTCCCTTCCAAACGCCTGCCACACAGGCTATTTAAGCACAACCCTAAGTGATACCTTTAAGGGCAAAAATATCGATTTTTCGTCCTGAATACCCTAAATGAGACCAAAATCTGCACTTTCTACCCCTAAGCTAGTCATTGATACCCTTATCACCTTCATATGGGAGTTTCCCCTTTGTGGGATTGCATTCAGAGTAGGTGTAAAAAGGAGAAGGTGGTGAGAGAAAATTCCTTCTGTTCTCTCTTCTCTGCAGAGGCTTCTTTCTGTCATAGGGAGGCTGGAGACTAAGAGGGAAAAGGAAAGCGTCACTGGGTCCACAAACCAAAGACATCAAACCATCACTTATAAAGTGTAGTTTATAACCCTGCCATTTAAAAAAGGCAAAAAAAAAGTCCAGAGAAATATCCATCAGAAAACTTTATTTTTACAGTGAAACAATCTATTATAGTAGCCTGTAACGGAAAATGCACGTTCAAAAGGGACCTCCTTAACCATGATTTAACCAACGAATCTTACTTCCTAGCTAGCTAACAAAGTCCAAAATATTGTTACCAGAAGTCCAATATCTTGCGCATAAAGAAATCCTGTTAATCAACGTCCAGTGTCTGCAATTAAATGACTAAGTCACGAGTTAAATTAATCATGGAGTTCAATGTGAGTAGGCTGAACGCATTCCAATCCAAGCTTTTCCAAAACACAGGCATCAAATTTCTTCTGCGTTGCTCTACAATAACCAAACTCTTGGTTGTGGTAATCAAGACAGGTCCAATGTTTGGTGAAAACATCGTTACACTCTGTTTTTAGCTTCTTGAAGAAATCTAGAGCGCACTTTGTGACTTGCTTTCCTTCTTCCAGACATTTTCTGGGATCTTTGTGACCGTAGCGGCAGCCCATAAACGTCTTGAAATCCTGGTCGCAGTATTGGCCCAGATGGTGTGCTCCCCCCATCAATACCGCTGATGTGATCGGAAGTTCATCAGACTCCAAATCCTTGAACGTTATGTCTTTAACTCCAGCAGCCATCGCGAAAAACTGAACCAAAACGAGAGCCAAATCAGGGCAAAATAACCAAGATGGCGTCGCCTACGAGCAACCGCTTGCCCTAAGGAACGCTGTTTCGTTTGTGTGCACTGCATTGTGGGTTCGGTGAATTCAAAGATGGCGGACGAAAGCGATAACCGGGTTACTCCGTTTGAAAATGTCGATGAAGTTTTAAGTCTTTTATGGGGAGATGATGTAAAGGAAGATATATTTGAACGTTGGTCTCAAGGTATTATAAATAGAGGTCGTGACTTTTAAAGATCAGTAAGAGACAGAAACTGAACGAAAGGGACAGCTGACTAGTTTCAGCTGTCTTTAAAACATTGTAACTCACGAATACATGCGTTCTCTACCTTAGGTTTTGTGTTTTCTACAGAGGAACCTAGTGCTTTAGTTCAGGAACAAGGAGGACCGTGCGCCGTTCTTGCTTCCGTTCAGGTTATTTAAAAAAATAAATATGTTGCTGAAAAAGTGCGCCACCTGTTTTCCTTTTTGTAGCTGTCAATAAGCTTGTTATTATTATTATTATTATTATTATTATTATTATTATTATTATTATTATTATTATAACTATTACTATTATTATTATTATCATATTATTATTAAAACTATTACTATTATTATTATTATTTTTATTATTATTATTATTATGATTATTACTGTCGTTGTTGTTGATGTTTTTGACAAGACTAGATGCTTCAAATATATGCTGTGGCTAAATAGCTGGTAGCCGGTTTAGGTTTTCAAAACACTAAGTGACTGGCAGTCCTATATTCTCAGTAAATATCACAAAATCAAAAAATTCCAGCTAATCTACATTATCATGTGTTGATTAAGAAAAGTCAAGCGATCCTGAAATGCATTATAGATTTCAAGTCTAGCATTTTCTTTACGCTGGGTTCAGAAGATGAAACCATGTTCTGTGTCACTTAGAACTTTTTTCAGCTCGACTACCGGTCAAGGTTTTCAAAACACTTAATGACCGGCAGTCCTATATTATCCATAAATTTTACAAATCAAAAAAATACAGCTAAACCAAAGCATCATATGTCGATTTAAAGACTGCCAGCCATTTAGTGTTTTCAACACCTCGACTGGCAGTCAAGCTGAAAAAATTTCTAAGTGTCACAAAACATGGTTTGGTTTTCTGAGAACAGCGTAAACCAAACGCTATACTTGAGATCTAAAAAGCATTTCAGGATTGCTTGACTTTTCTTAATTGACATGTGATAGTTTAGATTAGCTGGATTTTTTGATTTGTGAAATTTACTGAAAAGACAGGACTGCCAGTCATTAAGTATTTTGAAAACCTTGACCGGTTACCGGCCATATAGCCACAGAATCAAATGTATGTTTACATTATACTAAATATTTAAAAATGAATATGTATACAAATAAAATAGAATGAAATATATTTATAGTGAAGAAAAATTTAAAGGAACACATTTTCCCAATATGTTAATAAGTGTTTCAGGTCATTTATAAAGTTGTTTATCTTTTTTAGGCATATATTTTAAAAAATATCCTTTTCGTAGAGGATGCACCACCTCCTGATAATTGGAGGCAGCTAACAGGTAGGTTTTGCTTACTTTCCACAAGGAAATACAGTTAAACCTCTATTAAGTGTTCTCCTTCAGGAATTAGCCTGTGGTGACCACTTAATAGCCGTTTTCTAAAATTAAGCCCATAATGTGGCAGAAGTTGATGTAGAGGGCAAACTTTATCACTTTCTTTACAATTTATTTATCATTCCCAACAACAGTAATGCGGAATATGATAATGTGTTTGGATGTTCTGAGGAGTTCACATCTAAACAACAAATTTTAAGGTAATGTCGTGCCTAAGGCAAGCGGCTTTAGAATTAAGCACATCATCAGCAATTCCAAAACCTTATTCAGAGAGACATGTATTTAGTACCCAGATTACAATGTTATGTTGCATTTGATGAGCTGTAAAAGAAACTGGACATGCTTCGCTTATCTTGTGACAAAAATATGTCTTTTATTGATTGTTATGTAACAAGATAACGGTTTAACAGAGGTAAATTACAATAGAATTAGCCATTTGGGAAATCCAAATGGTGACCACATCCACTTAATAGAGGCAGACCGTTAAATAGAGGTCAAATTTACAGTAAATAAGGGAAGCAAATTTCAGGAAATTGATTGGTGACTGCTTGATAGAGGTTTTACTTTACAGTTTATAATGTTGTGATCAACTGTTCTGGTAGCAAAGTGAATGTATCTGTGGGGGAAGTGGGCTGTGTGTGCGTGTGTGTGTGTGTGTGTGTGTGTGTGTGTGGGGGGGGGGGGGGGAAATTTCTTCTGCGTTGCTCTACAATAACCAAACTCTTGGTTGTGGTAATCAAGACAGGTCCAATGTTTGGTGAAAACATCGTTACACTCTGTTTTTAGCTTCTTGAAGAAATCTAGAGCGCACTTTGTGACTTGCTTTCCTTCTTCCAGACATTTTCTGGGATCTTTGTGACCGTAGCGGCAGCCCATAAACGTCTTGAAATCCTGGTCGCAGTATTGGCCCAGATGGTGTGCTCCCCCCATCAATACCGCTGATGTGATCGGAAGTTCATCAGACTCCAAATCCTTGAACGTTATGTCTTTAACTCCAGCAGCCATCGCGAAAAACTGAACCAAAACGAGAGCCAAATCAGGGCAAAATAACCAAGATGGCGTCGCCTACGAGCAACCGCTTGCCCTAAGGAACGCTGTTTCGTTTGTGTGCACTGCATTGTGGGTTCGGTGAATTCAAAGATGGCGGACGAAAGCGATAACCGGGTTACTCCGTTTGAAAATGTCGATGAAGTTTTAAGTCTTTTATGGGGAGATGATGTAAAGGAAGATATATTTGAACGTTGGTCTCAAGGTATTATAAATAGAGGTCGTGAATTTTAAAGATCAGTAAGTGACAGAAACTGAACGAAAGGGACAGCTGACTAATTTCAGCTGTCTTTAAAACATTGTAACTCACGAATACATGTGTTCTCTACCTTAGGTTTTGTGTTTTCTACGGAGGAGCCTAGTGCTTTAGTTCAGGAACAAGGAGGACCGTGTGCCGTTCTTGCTTCCGTTCAGGTTATTTAAAAAAATAAATATGTTGCTGAAAAAGTGCGCCACCTGTTTTCCTTTTTGTAGCTGTCAATAAGCTTGTTATTATTATTATTATTATTATTATTATTATTATAACTATTACTATTATTATTATTATCATATTATTATTAAAACTATTACTATTATTATTATTATTTTTATTATTATTATGATTATGATTATTACTGTCGTTGTTGTTGATGTTTTTGACAAGACTAGATGCTTCAAATAGATGCTGTGGCTAAATAGCTGGTAGCCGGTTTAGGTTTTCAAAACACTAAGTGACCGGCAGTCCTATATTCTCAGTAAATATCACAAAATCAAAAAATTCCAGCTAATCTTCATTATCATGTGTTGATTAAGAAAAGTCAAGCGATCCTGAAATGCATTATAGATTTCAAGTCTAGCATTTTCTTTACGCTGGGCTCAGAAGATGAAACCACGTTCTGTGACACTTAGAACTTTTTTCAGCTCGACTACCGGTCAAGGTTTTCAAAACACTTAATGACCGGCAGTCCTATATTATCCATAAATTTTACAAATCAAAAAAATACAGCTAAACCAAAGCATCATATGTCGATTTAAAGACTGCCAGCCATTTAGTGTTTTCAACACCTCGACTGGCAGTCAAGCTGAAAAAATTTCTAAGTGTCACAAAACATGGTTTGGTTTTCTGAGAACAGCGTAAACCAAACGCTATACTTGAGATCTAAAAAGCATTTCAGGATTGCTTGACTTTTCTTAATTGACATGTGATAGTTTAGATTAGCTGGATTTTTTGATTTGTGAAATTTACTGAAAAGACAGGACTGCCGGTCATTAAGTATTTTGAAAACCTTGAC